ATGCCGTTCTGGCTACAATAGTGTGTACACCCTGATTCTAAGCTAAGGGTTTGTGGAGATTTCTCAGTTTGTTAGCAGCAGGGGGCATGGGCCCAGGATGATGACCCATGCCAACGAAGCTAGTCATTTTGGGGGATACCTGGATTGGCCATCCGGGCGTACCTGCTTTCGTCATAGCATGGGGCTAAGCTGAGAACCCCACTATGCTGCTCAGGTTTTAGAGTGCTGTGTTGATTTACAAGACACCAACCGTACTTGCAGGTATATCGACTGTCAGGTTACCTGAGGCTCGTCTACTTAGACTTCCCGTCGATAGTGACCTAGTGTCTTGCAGTGGCGGAAGCCCATCTCCGTGTGTTGGCCTTTGTTGCCAGTTGACACCCTAGCCCGGTCTGGGCAGTGTCGGTTTCCAGATAGAGCTGGGAATACCCAAGTGACCTGTGCGGCTCGACCGCGTCGTGCTCACCATAGCACCGAAGAGTTGCCTACTCTCTCTCTCTCTCTTCAGGTACCGGCCGAAGTGCTTACCATAGCCACAGACTCGTGTGGGACTTGTGGTCCAGGATCGGGTGATGCCCAGTATATTTGTGGCCCTACGCAGGCTTGAGCGACCGAGTGTCTAATAGTGCACAGGAGTAAAGCTCCCCTTCGCAACATGGCTAGCAGTGAGTCTTTGTTGCAGGTGTTTTGCTTGCAACCTGCAGGAAAGTTTTTGCCAAAGTTAAGCAGTGTCCTGCAGGTGGTACGGTTGCGAACCTCTCTCTCTTGTGACAGATGCAGACATGAGGAACGGTGTTCATGTCGTAGCTTTTCAGGCTGCTGGTGTGTCTCTAAGCTAGAGGTTTTTGGAACCTGGAAGGTGGACTGTACAGATTTTCTGCAGGGGGACGACGACAAGGACCACGACGACCTCACTAAGGATTGGCGTCCTCTTAGTCTGTCAGTCGAGCTATTGTCTTCTCTTCTCGCTCTCTCTCCCTTCCTTTCTCTTTCTGGTCGTCTGTCAGCCGAGCTATCGTCTTCTTTCCTCGCCTTCTCCCCTTTTCTCTCCGACGACGACGATGACGATGACGACCATACTAAGGACAAGAAAATGCGTGCCGTATCCTGCCCCTGTGGGGGCTGTTTGTGTTATTCTGCTGTACATGCGTTACACTTCAATGACTGACATGTTAACATGCGAAACTAGACAGTGCTCGCTTTGAGGTGACACAGACAGACATGTTCAACCGCCTTGGAAGCAGGGACGATGCAATGTTATTCTCCCCCTGTCAAAGGGGGTGTGTGTGTACACCTCGATTCTAAGCTAGAGGTTTTTGGAACCTGGAAAGTGGACTGTACAGCTTTTCTGCAGGGGGACGACGACAAGGACCACGACGACCTCACTAAGGATTGGCGTCCTCTTAGTCTGTCAGTCGAGCTCTTGTCTTCTCTTCTCGCTCTCTCTCCCTTCCTTTCTCTTTCTGGTCGTCTGTCAGCCGAGCTATCGTCTTCTTTCCTCGCCTTCTCCCCTTTTCTCGCAGTTTTGTGGTCCCCTCGAATGAGGGGCGTGTGTGTGTACACCCTGGTTCTAAGCTAAGGGTTTGTGGAGACTTTTGAATTTGTTAGCAGCAGGGGGCATGGGCCCAGGATGACGACCCATGCCAACGAAGCTAGTCATCCTGGGGGATACCTGGATTGGCCATCCCGGCGTACCTGCTTTCGTCATAGCATGGGGCTAAGCTGAGAACCACACTATGCTGCTCAGGTTTTAGAGTGCTGTGTTGATTTACAAGACACCAACCGTACTTGCAGGTATATCGACTGTCAGGTTACTTAAGGCTCGTCTACTTAGACTTCCCGTCGATAGTGACCTAGTGTCTTGCAGTGGCGGAAGCCGACGATGAACTCACCAACCATCTCCGTGTGTGAAAGCCCTGACCATCGCTAAGGGTTTCTGGAATACTGACAAGCATCGTTTGTACAGCTGCAGGGGGGCTGAGCACTCTGTGACTGACCCAGTCTAACAAAGCTAGGTCACAGAGTGGGATACTGCACCTGGCCAGTGCAGCGTACTGCAAAGCTCGAATGGCAACCAGGCCAAGCCACAAACCTGGCACGCCGACTTACCTGAGGTTTCCGACACTTCACTAAGGTAACATCGTGAATAGTTTGTGGCTGAAGCCGATGGACCAATTGGAATAAGCGCCATTTCTCCGTGTGTGGGTCTTTGTTGCCACTAGGCGAGGGCTCCGTACTGGAGCACGCCAAATTTCGCGATGCGGAATACCCATGTACTTGGTGAGCTAGACTCGAAGACTCGAAGAGCAAATGATGCACCGGGGCCAGGCTGTGTCTCTCTCTCTTCAGGTACCGCCACAGGCGTGTGTAAACACGAATCTGATAGCAGTGTCGAACGTGAGTTCAGGTTTGAGTGACACTGAATTCTTGGCAGAAGCTGTGTTCGGCTGCAAGTCCAGGGACGACAGGAATTATTGAGTTCCTTTGCAACATGGCTTCAGACTCGGAAGTGAGCGGTGTTGACGTTGCCGCCACCGCCGTACATGATTCGCCTTTTCAGGACAGTCCCTCCGCTTCGATCCCCGTTGACGATTTCGCAGGTGTCGACATCCCATTTGATGTCCAGGAAAGTCGGGACGTTCAGGGTTACCTGGAATCTTTGAACCGGTCGCCAACGACTCCGATTTCCAGTTCATCAGATGCGGAAGTTCCGTCTATCACCACTAAGGTTCCAAGCCGGCCCCCTCAGGTGGATGCACTGAAGAAGAAACAACATCGTCGACAGCCCCCGACAGCGACTAAGGCACCAGGCTCCATCGGAAGACAGGCCAGACAAGCCGCCGCTACTCCGGTAGACAGGTTGCATATGGGCGGTGCATTGGAAGCTTTGCTTGCACAGGATGACATGGAACCTTATGAGACAGGCATCCATAGCAAGGTATCGGATCACTACCCTGCGGCAACACCAGGTTCCTCTCCTTGTGTTTCTTCGGCTTCAGGCACCTCACTTCGAGGCATGGGATATCCGGGAGCCAGCGCGCAAGCTTCCACAGATCAGCTGATGCCACCGCCCGCTCCTCCGCACCCCCTCGACATGCTTCTGACCCAAGGCTACATATGAGTGATCAGAGCCTTGAAACTGAGCATCATATCGAGAGGGATGCGATTGGAGGGGCCATGTCAGTGAAACTGGTTAGCTGGTCGGAACCTTTGAAGATCACGGCCAACCATCCGGATGTGGTTGATCGGAACGCCGGGTACCTAGGCCGGTTGTATCATGAAGCCAAAGTCAAGGAACCCCCAATCATGGAGTGGACATTCTTGGCAAATGTAATGCAAGCATACACGGGCGACAAAGAGACATTGTTCTCGCATGTCGCATGTATGGAATCCAAGCAACACATGTTTTGGCTTCACTTCCGCGAGCCGTTCAGCACCAAGGCCGGTGACTCTGCAGTGCATCGATACACATTGTTTTTCGCACATGGCACGAATACCGCAGGGGTCGAAGGGATCATGAACAGTTGCTACCTCGCCCCAGCAACCATCGCAGACGGTGCAGGTGCAGTAGGACACTACAGCCAAGCCTCACCTTGGGGAGATTCCGAGAGTTTGAAGCAAATCCTTGACCGAGTTGTGCAGTCGGGAAAATGGCAATGTTATGGAATCAGGAGGGGGAGCCGAGGCTCAGCAAGCTTGCGTGATTCACGCGGCAGCGCATTTCGAACGGGACAAGAAGTGGCTTCTGCCTTCGGACCTTACTACAGCCACCAGCTTCGTGATTGCAGTCAAGAAGCAGTTTCAGCCGCTCAGGGATCATCTCGGCAGGCCAATCTTCCAGCTCGGACCCACACATGCCGACACAGTCAAACAGCTTCGTGGTGATCGCTCAAGGCGAATTTTTCCTTTGTCGCATCAGCTGTGACCAACCGGAGCCGCTCGATTCTTGCAGAACCTCGAGGCCGGTGCGTTATGCATTTGCTTGCGATTTTTCATGTCGTTGCGCTTTCCCTCTCTCTCTCTCTCTCTCCTCTCTCTCTCTCTCTCTCTCTCTCTCTCTTTCTCTCTCTCCCTCCGTCTTTTTCGCAATGCAGTGATCTGAAGCTTTTGTTCGAAGGTCCCTAGATTCGCTTAGGAACAACATCATGGCACGACAGGGACGCAAGACTGACTCCAGATCGCGCAGCCGCAACCGCGGA